TGCAGAACATCTTGTTGAATTTTTGAGTCTACGGTGCCCAGGGCAACGTAGACTCCTTGTTATCGTGCCCGTGTATCCATCCGTGAACATGCCCATCATTCGTAACAGCCTTAGGTATGCAAACGTTGTTACAGTAACCCGTTGCTTACTATGCTTGCTTAAAGCAAGGCATGTAATGCATCATACTGAGGGACTCATTACTCAATACTCATCACTCGAATTACTGACCCTGGTGAAAATCCCCACTTTTTAAGGATCTTTGAGGATTGTCAAAGACCTGTCAAAGATTCTTAAAGACGAGATCTTCAGAGGATCTTAAAAGGATCTTGAAATATCTTCAAAAGTCTTTAAATGCAAAATAATTTGACAAGATTCTCAAGGATTTAATGAAAATCCTCCAAGGATCCTATGAAGATCCTGTAACGATCCTAGTTAAGTCCTTTGTACGGATCCTGCAAGATCCTAAAGGACAATGCAAGGATATTTTAAAGATCATAAGAGGATCCTTTCAAGGATCTTAACAAGATCTATGCTAGGATCCTCAAGGACTTGATAAGGACCTTACAAGGATCTTTACCAAGATCATTGCAAGATCTTTGTAATAATCCTCAAAAATCTGACGTCCTTTTCAAGTCCTCATAAGTGTACCAAAATATTGACAAGAAATAACAGCATGTGAGAAATGTCACAGCATGTTGTAAATAGAAAGTACTAGCTATAATGATAGAAAGTGAGTGGCTGGCAAGAATCTGGAGGTTCCAGCCGGTTTTAGCTTTCAGGTTATTTAGGGAAAAGTTGTCAAGCAAAAAGCGGCCAAGTGGAAACATTTCACTTCCCGGAAGAGTTTTGGGGTTTTATTTTATTATTATTATTATTACTTCTGTGACATGGCACTAAAACAATTAAGTGAAGATAAAAATATTGGCTAAAAGGAGGTTTATCAAAATAAAGCACCTTGCCTAAAACTTTCTTAAGTCACAACCCACTGTGTATTTGGTGTCCGCATACATAAGTCTCTACATCAAATCAGCGGTCAGCTGTGTTTTCAGTCATGTGGCGCCATTTTGAGTTTGACCGTTGAATAATTTCACCTTGGGTCTTGTTTACCGCTTTAAGGCAGTTCACGAGCTCTTGTTAAAAGGAAACAAACATTTTAAGGCGTATTTCATCGCCACGAGATATTTCAAGATCCTTGAAGATCTAGACAAGATCCTCAAACATCTTGACAAGAAAATGAAAGATCCTCAAAGATCTTGGCAAGAAAACGAAAGATCCTTAAAGATCTTGGCAAGAAAAGAAAGATCCGTAAAGATCTCGGCAAAACAATGAAAGATCCTTGAAAAATGCTGTAATGAAATGAATTTCATTTGACTTGCGGATTTATAATCAAGTAAAGAAACTAAGAAACTGATATCCTGTAAGGAATTTGTTTCAACAAAGACAAGGAATAGCAATATTATCTGAATCGTATCCCCACGAAAACTAAAAGAAACCAAATGTTGCTCAAACATTTTATTTCTGTGGTACAGTGGTGACTCTGCTTTGCTTAAATTGTGCCATATTATTTTCGTCTTAATTTCTTAGACATTAAACTTGAGTCACACAACTTCGAAATTCCTCCACAGTCGAGGAATGCTTGACAATCAAGCACCTCTCACGGCACTGACGTAATTCAAACAACTAACTTTATTAGGCGGTTTAAGATGGAGTTCATTCCTAGAAACTGCGTGTTAGAAAAAGCTCTGTCAAACATTTTTCTTTTATTACAGAATCACAGTTTTATTCTGTTTTAAAGACTTTAAAAAGTCTTTAAAATAGAATAATTTGATACGTTGAGATTATTCGCAGAGGACACTTGGCATCGAAAAAAGAACAGTCAGTGCACAGATAATTGTGTTTACGAAACGTAAAACCATTAATGGTAGTAAAAGATACGATAACTAGGGCAGGAATACCTAGAAAATGCAAAGGAAACTTCCCACAAGTATAAGAAAATTATTTCTCTCTGCAACAGGAAGTTGAAGAAACAAAGCAACTAAACCTCAACACGGCAACCAAGAACAAACCTGACAAACAAACTAACATGATAAGCAAACAAACATGTCTGTTAAACGAACATCCAATCAATTGCGATGTTCTCCTTATTATCCGATAGGTAAAATATCACAGTGGGTCTGGTATTTTAACGTATTTTCTGTGCTAAATACAAACACAATATGCTCTTAAAAAGCATTAGAGAGGAGAGGAAAAATCGAGATGTTTTGTCTGCTCAAGTTGAACTGTCAAGGGCTTAGCACCATTTTGATATTGCGTCAGGGAATGTAAACCACATAATCAGGAAGTACCATTGATAACGCCATCAAACAAGACAAGACAAAGCATCTGTTTGCTGAAACAGGAAGCGTTTACATAAAAACAAGGGAGTTGAATACAGATCTCCTGCTGGGATACCGTGTGTCTGAGTCGTTAAAACTTGCATCGTATTCATCTTACAGCTAGCTGTATTTTGGAGCATTAAGAAAAGATTTATTAACAACTCAATCAAATTGATATGATTCGCGTCCTAGAGCAACTGCGAAAACTGAGAATAGAATTACGCTGAATATGATAACAGTGTAATAGATATTCTAATGAACCTAAAATTACAATGCACACTAAAAATATATGCTGTTAAAATTTAAGGTACCTAATCGCTGAACTAAACTTACTAGTAGTGCTAAATGAGAAGATAAATATTCACTAGACATTGCGAACAAAGGAGTACTTGAAACCCAAAACATAACACATAGTCTTATAACAACAAACATATGAAACATATGTGTGAACTGCGGTTATGAGACGTATATGAGCACGATCCTTCGCAGCAAAGCACTATTTAAGCAATAGTGAAAATCAGACCTGAAAAAAAATTCAGGCCTGTACGGGATTCGAACCACTGACCTCTGCGATACTAGTGCAGCGCTCTACCAATTGAGCTAACAAGCCAACTGGGAGCAGGTCATCAAATTAATTCGACATAAACCCGTAGATGATAAATCAAACAACAACAAACATATGAAACATATGTGTGAACTGCGGTTATGAGACGTATATGAGCACGATCCTTCGCAGTAAAGCACTATTTGAGCAATAGTGAAAATCAGACCTGAAAAAAATCCCGTACAGGCCTGAAATTTTTTTCAGGTCTGATTTTCACTATTGCTCAAATAGTGCTTTACTGCGAAGGATCGTGCTCATATACATAGTCTTATGTTAATGAAAAAGATAGCTTCATATATGGTGTCTTGTATTATTCGGGGGTTCAAAATGGAGTTCATTCCTAGAAAGTGTGTGTTAAAAAAAGCCCCGACAACCACTGTTCCTCGATTGCTGAATCACAGTTTTAGAGTATTCAAAACAGAAAAACTTGATACGTTGGTTTTATTACCCGAGGGTACTTGGCATCTAAAAAAAGATCCTTCGGTGTAAATACAGTTGTGTTCACAAAGCGTAAAACTATTCACGGCAAAAGAAAAGATAACCAGAGCAGGAATATCAAGAAGATGCCAACGAATCTTCCCACGAATGGTAGAAAATTATTTCACACTAATTTCAATTAAAGAAACAAAGTAACCAAACCTGAACATGACAATCAAGAACAAGCATGACCATCAAACAAACATCCAATAATTAAGATGCTCTCCTTATTATCTAATGGGTAAAAATAATACAGTGGGTCTGGTATTTTAAAGTTTTTCTCTGCTAAATACTAGCACAGTATGCTCTTAAAAGGTATTACAGAGGAGAAATCGAGATGTTTGTCTTCTACCTGAAATGTCGTAGGCTTAGCATCAACTTTCATTTTACGTGAGATAATTAAAACTTCATTATGAAGTTCCCATCGATACCGCCATTTAACCAGAGAAAACAGTGTATTTATTTGCTGACGGAAACCGACGGCGTTTAGATTAAAACAAGGAGGTTGAATACAAATCTCCTGCTGTGACAAGGTGTGTCTAATTTTGCTAAAACTTGCATCGTATTCATCTTACAGCTTGCTGTATTTTAGAGCATTTGAAAAAGATTGACTTATGACCCAATCAAATTAATATGATCCGCGCTACAGAGCAACTGCGAAAACTAAAAGCGGAATTACAGTTATGGCAATAGCCTACTAGATATTCTAATGAGCCTGAAATTACAACACGCACCAAAAATAATATTGTCGAAATTAAAGGTACCATCTTGCTGAAGCTAAAGGCAAGTAAGCAAAAAACACAAACGAACAACCAATCAATTGAGACGGCTCCCCTTACTATTACAGAGCAGAAATCGAGACGTTTGTTTTCTACTTGAAGTGTACGTCAGACAGTTAAAACCATATAATGAAGTTCCCATTGATACCGACATTTAACCGGACAAAACAATGCATCCGTGTTTGCTGAAGCGTTTGGATTAAAACAAGGAAGTTGAATACAGATCTCCTGCCGAAATAAGGTATGCCTGAGTCGCAAGAACTTGCATTGTATTTATCTTAGATGTTAGATTGATTAACCACCCCATCAAACTAATCTGGTCCGCGCTACAGAGCAACTGCGAAAACTAAAAACGGAATTACACTGATTATAATTATAGTGTACTAGAAATTCTAATGAACCCGAAATTACAATTCACCCTAAAAATAATACTGTTGAAATTAAAGGTACCACTAGTTGCTGAAGCTTAAGGCAAGTAAGCAAAAAAAGCAAACGATAACAAGTTTCCAACTAAACTTGTCGGCGGTAGTGCTATCAGAGAAGATAAATATTGACTAAAATGCGAACAAAAGAGTACTTGAAACTCAAAACATAACATGTAGTCTTAATTTAATGCAAAAGATAGTTTCATATACGGTATTCCATTTAGGAATTCCAGTTTCCAAGCTTGCTAAAAGCCGGGTATTTCCAAGAAAACCAGGAACACGACTGCAGTGTTGCCCTCGCTGAAACATAACGCAGCTGAATGCACGACTGAGTAATAATGTATATGCATAACATTGGCAGCAGCATAAAAGGACGTAAAGCAGAGCTACATTGTACATCAGCTCCAGTCGGGGAGTGAAATACAACTCCAAGAGAAGCAAGTAGAAAGCGAAACGAGATCGAAGTCAAGCGGCGATGATGCGACATGTGAGTAAACCATAACTAGTTATAGTCAAACCAGTATTTAAATACAACACTTTCAACAGAAGTTTCACTTTGCCTTTGAACTCTTTTCCCAACTCAATAACAACTTTAAGGAGCATATTTGATCAATTTAATTTGATGAGTGCGAACTGTATTGCGCTAGATTATTGAGAGCTGACATAATTACTCGCTGTAAAAACTTATGCAAGGTTTATAATCAGTGCTTATTTTTATAACCCATTGGTGGTGAAACTTGACGCGCGTGACTCGGACCTGTCAGATTCGGTATTATCTAAAAACTTCTGTTTGGAAATTCATCTGATTTTTATTCGTATCTTGTTTTTTTATCACGAAGTAATCGTATATTTTCTTCTTTGCAGCAAATCCTCCCCGTTGCGGTCATATCCTTACTGGTTGTTGCCACTGCGAACTTGGCGTCCGCAAGTCCTGTCCTTTCCGACAATTCCCCCTCTAAGAAGGTAATTATCAACTACAGTCAGCGTAAATACTTCAACGAGAGTTACTCGACTTATACCTTCAATCTCCTTCGCGTCTTCAAATCTTTCGTTAGTATAGTATACTTCTTCATTTGGTTCCCCAGTAGAACTAAGATGTTGTGAAGAATCCGTGACGCGCTCACCATTTGATAAAAGTTTGATCACGTTTATAATATAAACAATTAATAGACTTACTCGTGATTTTATACACTTTGCATCTAAGGTTGTGGAATACAATGTTCAGATCGGCGAGTCAGGGGAACATTTCAACGAGACGATTGAAGTTGACACGGAAAGGCGGACTGAACTATTTAAAGTTCCTGCTCACGGCAATGTGGACCACAGTAATATCCTACACGACTTCAAGACGGTAAGGAAGAATATGCAAATGACTTTGTCTAATTGTCAATCTAAAAGACAATGGTGTAAATTGGGTGAAATAATCAAGTATCATCACTCTACTTATGATTAAGTATACAGCATGCCCGTTGGTTGATAGCACGTCAATGAATCCCACCTGGAAAAAAAGTCGCTGCGCTGCGATATCGGGCAATTGAAAAATGCGGTTGACTTGATTTCAGTTGATGGCAAGATTTCCGTATAACCTAGTACTTCATTATGCCTTCAGTTGTGTAATACAGAAAACAATGGCAAAAACAATATAATAACTTCAGGACTAAGAGTTTCGTTCAGGATAATATTGGGTTATACGGAATTTTACTCTTTAGACATAGGGGGTCGGGGGCAATCAACTGAAGACGAAGCGTTCAGTAATCTCCTGGGGTCTAACGAGGGGATTTCAAAAATTATTTTTCTTACCAGAGGTTTCCCTAGACTGCCACTCATTTGCCGTATCCTCTTCATGTTGATGAGCAGATACATACTTGAGGCCAAATTTTATCTTAGAGTGCTGACCTTAAGTCATATTTCCATATTGATACACCGTTTCAATGCAGCTTTATTTGAAACTTATTTTCACGATTATGCAACTATTGGTTGGTCATTAGTAAAACATTTTACTTCAGAGGCTAATTTCGCTTCAAGATATCAACAAAATCAGACTAAGTAGCACTTGTCTTTCTTGTTCTTCCACACAGAATCTAAGCTTGCTTCTGATGCCGGAAAAGAAGATCTGCTATCTTCTCCCCCTGGAAAAGGAGTTATCTACGCCTGCAAAACTTGCAAGTGATTTGGATAAGGCCGAGGTATGAACTCCTGCTTCGTAGCATAACTAAACGAAAAACTTTCCTCAGTAAACTTCTTCTATCTGTTACTCACCATACACTGATGACGTAAGAGCCGTTCTCCGTACACGTAAAACTTGTTCAATAGAGTATCAAACAGTTTTATGCTCCATTCTTTCAGAGAATTATTAATAACAAGATAATCATCGCGAACAAATGGACAGCCGGCCAAGAGTTGACTGATCGATCAATTCTAAGCAATGAGATGGCAGCTTTCTGTGTAGAATACCCCATATATCACGTGAAACAGTTGGAAGATACCATGACATTGACCAAGACTCAAATAAACGGTGAGACAGTTTCCGAAATGTGATAACTCTTCTCGTAATTGTCTGTCTGAGGTCTCTCCCCGACTGAATCACTCTATGGCCTTCAAACAGGTGTAATCTGAGTTATAGGGAGAAAACAATTTCCACCTTCCCGCTTGATGAAAAGACGACAAATCTTTGATCGTATACGTGCTTTTTATATAAACAGGTAGAACAAATAGAAAACGACGGCAAGGCGAGTTTATTACACTCAAGGAAGAAATATTGTGTGCGAATGGAATAGCCAATCCTTTTTATGCACATCAAGGTAACTTTGCTACTGGAAACTGTTTCGCCTCGGGGAAAAGTTGGCGAGTGAAGTGCAGAATAACAGGGGAAACCTGTTATGAAACCGTTATATGCAGATCGTTTCAGCAATGTCGCGAAGAACACCTAACTAATACTTTGTTTTGCTGCGAATACAAATGTCTTTGAAACCTTAATGAAATGAGCGAAACTTTTAAAGTTTCTTTGATAAACGTTAAATTTCTTTTCCTTCCTTTGATTAGGGAGTGCCCGGCTTTTTAAACATGCTTTCCCTGCGATTTTAATTTTTCAATATTTGCATGAAGAAAGAGTATTCTTCTATATTTAGATTACCCCTTAACAACCACTAGATAACCTCTGCCTGGATTACTTTGCAAACTGAATATTGTATGTGATGTAGAGAAACAACTTGAGGTAGAATCGCTCTTTCGTTTATTGCCAAAGTGTCACCTTTGACAAGCAATCTAAAATACTTCAAAATTACATAAAATATTGTAAAGCTTTGTATCCGGCTGGAAAAGATAGTTCGTTCGTTAAGGATAACTTATAATTTTCAGCATTATTATCGGTGTTAAATGTTTAAAACACCAACTTAACTCTAGTTGTTCGTGAGCTTACCAGTTGCAAGCCACTTGAGCATGCTTTTAGGTAATGCACATTACATGTAGTCATAATTGTATCACGTACTGTAAAACTAGGTAATAAAACTTAAGATATTACAAACGCTGTGTATGGGGAAAAAATAAAGTTTTTTACCTGTTTTTGACGCAACGTGTTGCTTCGTATAACCAATTATGCAGCTGCTTCATTCAGGTTCGACTGTATGTTCAATTTCTGTGTAACGGTAACATAGTTTCTTCTTTGTCCCTCTACTTATCGTTCTTCATTTCCTCACTGTGGCTGATCTACACCGCAGCTTTGCTAAGCTTTTCTTCATTTTACACTTTTCTAAATGTCACTCATAAGCACTATTAATGGCCATGGATATTGCTCTTTAAGCCAGAATTCTTAATATTCGCCATTGTTAGGGTTACGATGCTAAAAATTCAATATAGCTTTATTCAGATGTTTGCAGTTGCAAGCATCACTTTAATTTTACACCAACCCAATCTGCTTCTACCTTACACTATTGTAACTCTCTGAGATGTGTGTTGAACTTCCCTCCTGGTTTCATGTTTTTGTTTTTCTCCTGTTTCAGCATGCCCTGGTAATTCAGCGTGTAATTCTAGATCCTCGTTTTTAATTCATATTCTTTGGAATATCCAATCGTCCGTAACTGGCGGAAGCCCGTTAACAGAGTGACGAAGACGAGAAAACTGTCCAGAAATAATTGGTGTTAAGTAACCCTACTAAATAGTAACATAGTTCCCACGCTGAAACAAGAAATACTAGAAAGCATTTCAAACTGATGGAAAACTGTTGTAAACTAGAATCAGTAGGCACAAAATACGTGTCCGAGTTCACACTTTGGGATTTGGGACATTTTAAGCGTGTTTTCTGCAGGCTGGCTCTCCTCCTGAGATTTGTGATGTTGATGTTGCAAAAGATTGCAGTGCATTCACTAGACAGTAAAGAGAAGTTTTTTGTAAAAAAAAAATTACTGAAAGGGAACTTTATATTCTGGTTATGAAACTAGTAGGTTTGGGCTGAGTACCAACTAAAGAAATAATTCAGAACGGGATTTCTTTGGTCAAGCATGATTAAGTATTCTTATAAATATGAGCCAACAAAGCAGATCCGAAATTCTTACTGCGTTTGTTTTCAGACGGTTTCATCAAATTTTAGATCGACACTCAACAGGACATTTTTGCAGACGACTTCGCTAATTTATCTCATGATTCTGGATTTGAAAATTAAAAATTCAAATTCATCGGAATATCCAATCGGCCGTAAGTGTTGGGAGCCCGCTTTCAGTTTCCTCGACTCTACAGTAGAGACGAAAATCGTTTAGACTGTCAGCCATTCATTTATTTCTGATAAACACAACTTGCGCTTTAAATGTGCTGCAATTGGTCGCGACATCAACGAGCCCAACATCAGCAGGAAATCTGTACCTGGCAGTCTTCCCTTTAGGGATGTTGTTCCTAACTTCTTAACAAAGTAAAGTTACCTTTGTTCACCACTCCTTTATTGTGATAACGTGACAATCAAACGAACATGATAATCAAACAAACATGACAATCAAACGAACATCCGATCAATTTAGATGTTCTCCTTGCTATCATATGAGTAAAATATCACAGTAGGCCTGGTATTTTAACGTTTTTTCTCAAATACTTGCACAGTATGCTCTTAAAAAGTATTACAGAGGAGAAATTGAGATGTTTGTCTTCTACTTGAAGTGTCATAGGCTTAGCGCCGATAACAGCACGAGAAAGCATAATGGATCTTCTCTAGAGAGATAGATAGAAACTTTATTAGGCAGATAATCCATAAAGCTAAGTCACTTATTTACAGTGAAGCTGTGCATCTAAAATATTAAAAACATACACACACAAATACATATATTGATACAAAATAAACATTAAAATAAATAAACAAATAAATAACCCTTTGTTCGTGTTCCGTTAACAATAAACCTACGATGCCGAATCATATAGATTATTACAAGTTATTTAGGCCAATAGTTATTTACAAACTCTTTAAGTGTCAGGGACCATTTTGTGGCATGATCAACTGAGGTTGTTGAATAGTTTAGCAGCTGAATAGGTAAATGACCTGTAGCCAGATTTAGAAGTTATTTTGACCATATGTAGATTCGCTCTATTTCTAGTATTGTAATAGTGCAAATCTGAATCATAGGAAGAAAGCCTTCTCAGATAGGGTGGATAAATTCCATAAGGCATTTAAATACAGTTAGACACTTATGAAAGTTCCAACGTTCAAGCAAGGAGACCCATCCCAGTTCACAAAACAAATTTGCGGTACGGTGTTCCCTAATCTTCTTTTGGAGAACAATCCGTGCTCTCCTTTTTTGAAGCCTAAGCTGAGTCTTTGAAGAGAGGTGCTATCAGCACTGGACCAGACAATATCACAATATTCCATTAAAGGCTGAACTAAAGTCATATATAAAAGCTTACAGGTATCGATATCTAAATATTTGCGAATTCTTCCCAATAAATTTAATCTAAGAGTTACTTTATTAGAAATGCTATTTATGTGTTCCTGCCAGTTCATAGAGGCATAAAAAATTAAACCCAAGTATTTCACAGTGTTTGACAACTCCAGAAGATTGCCCAATAAAAATAAGAGTCCTTATGATCTTGCGAGACGCTGTTTAGAGCCAAAAAGCATGACATTGGTTTTGTCGCAGTTTACTAGCAAGTGGTTCAAAGAAAACCATTCGCCAACGGAATTCAGGTCTTCTTGTAGAGTGGATTCATGATAGTTTGAATTTTTCTACCGGCAAAAAATAGAGCAGTATCATCAGCATACAAGACTATTTTACAACGATGTACAGTACTAGGTAGATCATTTATAAATACGATAAATAATAAGGGGCCCGGAACAAACCCTCAGTTGAGGTACTCCAAGTGATAGATATGAGGTATCTGAATAAGTTCCATTCACACTAACAGACTGTGATCTACCAGACGGATAATTATCAAACCAGGCAAGTGCTTGTCCTCTGACACCGAGTGCATTAAGTTTAATCTTAAGGAGAGAGTGGTCAATCACATCGAAAGCCTTGCTGAGATCTAAAAATATTGCTCCAGTAAGATTTCCTTCATCCATATTTTTCAAAATATATTCTGAAACATCAAGTAGGGCTGTACTGGTTGAATGACCACGTCTGAATCCTGATTGGAATTGAGATAAAAGCTCATCCTTAACCAGATAATCGTAAAGCTGTTTATGGATTTTACGTTCAAAAATCCTCGTAACAACTGGAAGGACAGAGATCGGTCTAAAATTATTTGGATCACAATGTGATCCGCTCTTGTGAAGCGGAGTGACAGTGGCTGCTTTCCATGACCTTGGTATTTCACCACAATGGATTGATAAATTAATGATTTGGGTAAGTTGAGTCGCTAGAACATTGGAGCCGACTTTAAGTATGCGCGAGTGAATGTCCTTGAGGCCAGAAGATTTGTTGACATACAGCGATGACAATTATTTGCGAACAAAGCTAACTGGTATGTCTTTAAATAGAAAGTCTGGGATAAGTCGAGGTGTCAAAATCAGAGGATCACAGAGGGTGCTTACATTCAATGTGGGAAGAAGGCTTCTGAGTCGAACACCCACTGACGTAAAAACTTGTCAAAGCAATTAGCAATATCCAAACTGCCCGTAAAGGTTGTATCATCAAGGGAAATTTCTTGCACTGCAACCTCGCTTTTCTTAGGTATGAGCTTTCGAATGGAAGACCATAGTTTGGAGGCCTCCTGGGCTTGAGTTTTAAGCAGGTTGTTGAAGTAATCTTGTTTAGCTAATTCAATCTGCCGAATGACAGAATTACGCAACTGTTTGTAACTGGTCCAATCTAGATCTATTTTGGACTTGCAAGCTTTCCGTTTCATTTTGTCACGTTCCTTCATTAAGGATCTAATTTTTATCAGGAAGGCAGAGCCTGAGATTTTACGCTAGCTTGAGAACCAACCACTTATTTGGAATTGTAAAATAATTGAGACACTACAAGCGTCCTGACTAGTCGAAAAACTTTCGTTTATTGCGTTCATCAAGTTAAGGTATAGTGATGCCTGCGTTGTGCAAATATGTCTCACCTAAGGTGTTTGAGTTTTAATATGAATATGTTCAATTCCTTCTTACTTACATCTGACATAGTTGATGTCACCCATGCTACGATTTTTGTTTCTCTTCTTGTCCTTCTTCACTTCTTGACTATAGCTGATCTAAACTGCAGCTTTGCTTCATTTTAAACTCTTCTAAATGCTACTAAAATACACTATTTGCGTCCTTAGATATTGCCCTTTCAGCAAAAGTTACTTTCTAGTGTTTTACTTTAGATTTTCTGGAAATCCTGTCTTCTAGAAAAAACAAAAATAGAAGTGCCAGCTCCTTTTCAGTAAAACTGCAGATCAACTCTCGCCAGAGTATTTTCTACTTTCGCGTTAATTCAGCCTGTAATTTTAGATCTTTTTTTAATTCGTAGCTATTAGAATATCCAAAGGTTCATAACTGGTGGAAGCCCGTTAAAGAGTGACATAGACGAGAAACCTAACTAGAAATATTAGAGAGGTGTTGGGTAGTTCTACAAAGAAAGTAAAGCACAGCAGTTCCCACGCTGAAACAAGAAAGACCAGAAAACCTCTGAATTGATACAAGACTGTTGCAAAAATAGGTAGAGAAGACGTCCAGCCCCAAATCTCTCATCTTGGGATATGCCGGAGCTCTCCTGCTGGGAGAAGTTGTGTTGCAGCGCATTAACTGAACATATGTACTTTGTTGTAAAAAAATTACGGCTAAAAGCGAACGAAATATTCTGGTTAAATAACCACACAATGTAGGGTCGTATAGCAGGTTTGGGTTTAAAACCGACCGTCAAAACTAAAACGATTGCGTCTGTTCACAAAATTTAACTTTTGTAAGCGTCTAGATGAAACTTTAATTTACTTAACGGAAGCACCAAAGGCAAAAGATGAAAATAGGAAAGTGAAACACATCATGAGAAGACACACGGGGCTTGCACTGTAAGTATCTCGGAGAGCTCCATACAACTCCTTTTAATTAATTAAATTATAAGGAACGTTAACTGTATGGAGCTTTTTAA